TCTTAATTGTTCAGTAATTTGCTCGTACTGTGATGGATCGTCGTCCAAGAATGTACAAGAAATTGCACGCGACAAAGATGATTTCGAGGAGTCGACAATCCATACAATGATCCATCCTTCATCTGCAATTGATTAATGTTATAATATTATTTATTAATTATATCATTACTGTTTACATTCATGCGATATTATATATTACAACATTCATTTTTATATTTAAGATGTAATAATAAAACCATAAAATATACAGTATTAAGGCTTACTTAATATGATTCCTGCACGTACTTCGTCAAAGCATGTTTTTTTTATTGCGATCTAGCTTCGAAAGTATTTATTGCACAAAAAAACTTGTAAGATATAATTTATAGAAAATTTACTCAGCTTTATTTTTTAAAAATAACTATTTTTGCGGTAGAATACGTCAAACCCGAGATATTTCGAAAAAACTTCAAAAAACTCTATTTTTTCGTAGGTTTTTCAATATGCTAGCGGTAAAAAAAATGTGGCAAAACATTGACTACAGTTTAGGACACTCAAAACTATGAGCCTTTTAAATATAAAAACTCCTGTATTCATTGCGATCAAAAAATCTCTGGGCTATTCCCTATTTTCCTAATTTAGTATTTAGCAGCGCCAAGTTTTTTTGCATAAAGTATTTTTTTTCATTAAAAATTTTTTTATTGTATACTGTAATGTTCTTAATTCTTTGTGATAATCCTTAGATTGAGTAAGATAACGCAATTTTGTGATATAACATTTTAAAGGAAGATTAAATAATTACTACCACACTTGGTATGGAACAGGAAAAATTTTTATAGATATATAGTAGATATACAAGTTATATTTTTAAAATTAAAAGTTACGAAATCTTGGGAATTTTTAAAAGTAATTTTATACAATTTTTAAAAGTAATTTTATACAATTAGTGCAACTGAAATGCTTCATATTATTTTTGAAAGTACGCATACTTCTTGGAATTAAACTAGGCGTCAGTTATTGATATCAAATCTTTTGTACAAATAATATACTCGTATAACATATTTTTGTAGCTATTCAAACTGCGCGCCGAAATTTTTCCGGACTTTATCAAACGCAATTAAACTACTGCAATAATATCACAAGTTAAATTAAATTGACAAGCAAATTCTCAATCTTCAATCCGATATCATATTATAAGGGTATTAATGTGCCGAAAAACTTTAAAAAATTTATTGCAAAAAATATTACCTCAATATTTTGGAGGATTATTAGGAGTATAAATAGGAGTATAAGTTTCCGCCGTTTTTTATCAAAAAATGGGCATTTATTGTGAAAGAACGGTACCTAATGTTTTATTCGAAGTATTGTCCATCGCTAGCCATTACTTTTTCCCATCTTTCTGGCAGCAT